AGCCACTCCCCCCCCCCTTCTCTAGGTCTATCGTAGAATGGAGTGAGGGACCTGCTCTACTTTTCCACCGCTTTCTGTGAAATCCTCTACCACAGTTGTAACTACATTGAATGACGACATTATCATTGTCTTCCCAAATCTGGGCCCCTCTGTGTCCATCTCATGGTGTATTTCCATGACCAAGCATAAGCCCTGTCTCTGTCTCTCATCAAGTGGTCTAGGAGAATAATACGCCTAATTATGCCACAAGGTGGGGAGTGTGATGCAGTCTCATGAATATGTTATTAATCAGAAAATCTTGTTTTGGTGCCCAGTCCTGCCACAACCTAAAGCAAACCTACACAATTTTCAAATCTATAAAATTAGAATGATTATATTATTATTTACATGGTTGATGTATAGATTAAAATGCTTTATCAGTGTATAAAAGGTAACATGCTTTATCAACAGATAAATGTATCAATTAGGTTTTCTGTTCTTATATTACCATCTTCAGGACTGTTGTATCACTGTATTGTGTCTCATGCAATTCCACAATGTCTCTAGAAGGTGGGTACCTACTATTATTTTCCAGATGAAAAAGCAGAGGCCCAGAGAGTGTCCTGTACTTGTGCGTAGGTAAGGTCAGGGACAACAGAGGTGAAGCTTAGGTCTGAACGCAGGGCCTCCGACGCCCGAGTGCTCACGCTCCGCAGCCACTGAGCTCAAATGTTTCCTACCAGGATTAAGCACTGAAGTGAGACTGGTTGGTGACCTTTCTTCTCTCAGTTCTTTAATGTAACAACAACAATTGACCCCCACGGTCTTCTAAGAAATGCTCTATTTGGTCCTGTCTTGCCTAATCTACAGCGGACTTACAGAGCTATTCTAGAGGACACCTCTTTCCAAGCGCTATGATTTGGAACGCAGTGTCAGAAAGCTGTTTCCTTACGGGTTGCTACGTCAAGGACAGGCACAATTGTTTAGTTCACACATCCTGGAATTGGAATCAGATATTCTGAGTTCAAATCACAGCTCAGGCATGGGGTAACATGCCCTTCAGGCAGTAGTTTAGCTTCTAGGAGCCTTCAGCTTTTCAGATTTTTTTAATCTCCAAAATTACTACAAGATCATCTTCCTTAAAACATTACTGTGGAGATTAAATGAGTCAAATGTATGTAAGAGTGCTTTGCAAATTATACCAAAAGAAAGGGAAGAACTACTTTTCCAAGGATGCAAAGCCTCCTTTCAGCAAACCACTGAATACAAGGGTACTTCAAAAAGTTGGTTAAAAAAAATAGAATTAAAAGACAGTATGAATCTTTCCAAGTACTTTTTGAAGTACCCTCATATACATACATGCACAAAAGGCCAACAGAGATAATTTCCTAAGCATTATAACCAACCAAATGTCCAGACTGCTGGAGGAGATTGAAAAAGATTCATTGAGACGGTCGTTCAACTCTGAAAATGGTTGACGGTTGTCTACACAGACCAGGGATGTTAAGGAGGGAGAGCAGTGTTGTTCCTCTTAATGGAAAACACAGAGTCCTTCTGCAGGCTTACCAGGAATCCAAGTGGGACCTCCCAGGAGAGACGGGATGCGTCCAATTCACACAATTATTAACATCACTTAGTTGTCAAAATGTCAAAGAATAACCACGTGAGATTACTGGAAAACAGAGGGTTGTTTTGTGACTTTGATTCATTCCACACAGCAGATCCCTGGGAATGTGGTACAGAATTTGGATGCATTATGTCAGTTACAGTTCCACTAAATCATGACCCTGCTACACTGGGGATGTAACTCAGGAAGGGATAACAGAAATGTACTGTCAACAGGAAAACAGAGCAGACTTTCACTAAAATGCAGCGTAAGGATGTTAGGAATATTCTAACACAATAGGTCACGTATATGTGGAGGTGATGGGTAGGCAGTAAGTCCAATTCTCACTCCTATGTGCTCAGAGAGAGAGAACTGTGGCCGCTCCAGAGGCAGTGAGGGAAGACACAGAGCAGTGCCTTGCACCTCCACGAACTGCAAGGAAATGGGCCTCACCCTCAGCACCAGTTCAGGGTGACAGACGTATGGCGTAAGATGAAAATGGGGTTTCAAGTGGCATTACAAAGAAAAGATGACACAATGGCTTTTTCCTAATTAAATGCAAGATTAAAAGCTGAAGAACTCAGATTCAAGTAGCCTCCTCACAGGGATGGAAAAAATTTACCCCAGCTTAAAAAAAAAAAAAAAAAGCAGAAAGGCACTTGCTACTTGTGAAGTTTTGTAAGTAGTTTAGAGTCACTAAAGGGAATGAAGATGGCTAAAGAAGCTAACTGGCCTGCAGCCCAGAGACTGGCTAATTCCTTGGGTGACAGGAACATCTGGGATCATCTAGGAACATCAGCAACCTAAAAAGGAATGTGTGCTTTCTACAGTTTTATCATTTCCTCCGTTTAATAGACAGGAACATGCACAACTCACAGATCTGAAGTCTTGGATAAGTTGCTCCTGTCTCTGTCCACCTTCCTAGACAGCAGTCATGAACTCACACCTTATATACAGAGGCATAAACCAAATTCGTTAACATGCAACTAACAAAGTCGCAGGAGGTCCAGGACGACCACATTAGGCCAACGTGTCTTTTGAGGCCTCTGGGCTCAGGCAAGTTATTAGGTAGTATCTCTCCCTCTTATTTTAAAATTGAAGTGATCGTTCCTCTCCAGTATTTTCGAGCCATTTCATTTATGTCCCTGTACACTTGATGCCTTTTGGCACATTCTAGCTCTGACCTCTTAAGAGGAGTCACCTTCTTGTAAGAGGCAGGGATTGAGGTAAGTCGTAAATCAGGTGCCTTGGACAGTGTGAAACAGCCCTAGGTTGGTTCTCAGGAAACGGAGTGGAAGGTACTGGGGACAGGTCTGAGATGAAGGAACGGAACTCGGGCTCATGGGATCGACTGCAGTGAAGGGAGGGGTGCAGAGGCGGGGCTGGCAGGAGGCTGTGACTCCGGTGAGACTGACTGCACTCTACCCCACACTTGATTTCTGCAGGATGATGTGCTTAAAAAGCACATGTGTAACTGACCATGACCTCATTTACAAACACGA